GGTTAGTTGAAGAGTTAGTTGAAGGTAAGACAAGAACCTTAGGCCCGATCCATACGTCGCGCTTTTCATGTGCCGAACCTAATAGTATCTATTTGGCACATGAAAGGCTTGACGTATTTAACAATTAAGTTCGGCGCGACTGGATCAGGTTCGACACCGAGCTCGACCGCGCCAGTCGAGCCGCACGGCAAAAGTTCGACACTGATTTAAACGTCGAGCTCCTGATGTGCCGAATCAAATGCATACATTAAAATTAGGTGATCCCGGACCTAAAAAGCAGCGGTATTTGGTAATGAGTATGCGCGATACGGTCTTGGGAGATCCAAGATGGCGGATGATATGTGCACCACCCGGTATTTCTTGAGAGGCGGCGACACGATCTCRCAACGGTCCCCGAAGTGTAAACACCATTTTATAAGGAAAGAAGCAACAGCATTACAGCGAAACTGACTATATGTCTTCTTCTGCTAACAAGCAACAGCATAGACTGCATGATATTTTGCCTTCTTGCACGGAGAAAAAGTAGTCTTTTTTGATCGTCCACCATGTTTGTTTTGATTTGAATTGTTTCAATTTAAGAATCTTCAAAACTAGAACATAAGATACAGCTTTTTTTTGGATTTTCTCGCCTGAGCATGTGGCGTCATAGCCACCATGTTGTTTGAATTTGATGATGGGATTCCTTTACATTTCTTTTGGTTATATCGACCAATACGATCGTCATATCTTAGTTTTGCAAAACGCGATGTCGCTGTAGTCTATTCTTTGTAAGTTTTGCCTGCCGTATATTTTAAAACCATCACTATCTGTAAAGAGAGTTTGGCTCTACGCACACTAGCACTACATTTATTTACAACACACAACACTCAACTCACAAGTTGATATTAAAAAAGGGGGAAAAAACTTCGTGGCAAGCGAGAAAACAGTACATCAAACTACAATTAAACTGCTCRTATCATGCCACTGCTTCAGATAGCATCTGCAAATGTAACTTAACTTCCATCTGCACGAAAAAATAGTTAGAACTACAATTTCTAATGGTTCAGTTCTAATTAAGTCGTCAAACATCTGGTAATTTGTTTGATCCAAGGCATATATATATTACGTAAGAATACTTTATAAATTATTGAGTTTTAAACACTTTACAATTGGCATTTTTTTGACTGCGTAAAGCATATTGTGAATTGGGTAAGTGAAGAATCTATAAATATCAAAAACAGTTGGCCCTCCGAAATGAAATTGATGTTGTTTTGTTTAGAGAATTTTTGCCTGAGCTTAAAGTAAAGAGAGCAGCAGTAAGGGGGACTCGCGGTCACCCCTCGGAATTACACGGATATTCCCCGTGCTCACGTAACAGCGTCCGAGTCGGGTATTACCCG